GTAGCCAATGTCCAGGTTGCCCATCCCTGTGGAGGGGGTGGGAATGATTCTTGCAGTAAGGATTTGTTTCCTCTTTTGAGCTACTGCATCCATAGGTGTAGGTCAAGTTCATCAAATTATATCAGATGACGCTTTTTTTCCTCTTCTTTCTTCTTCTGGTTGAGCTCTGATCATCCAGTCATTGGAGCCAGGTCAAGTGGGTATTATCTACAAGTGTGGGTTTTCTTTGCATCTATCCACTCTCTTCTTATCAGCTGGACGCTTCACTCTCCACTCTAGCCCTCTGTGGCTGTGTCACTGACTCTGAGCCCATGAGTCCCGAGGTCTTGCCACATTGCTGGCCAAAGAGGTCTCCACCTGGGTTCACAGGAGTCTATTGAACATTGTAGGGCTTAGCTCGCCGCTTCCTTGCTGTTTTTCCCTCACTTCCTGTTATGGGTGATGTGTGTAGTCGCTAATCAGAGCGTGCATTCCCATTGCGTCTTAGTCTTGGAAGAGGATTGGCACTGAGGGGACCTGACCACTTGTCTTGATTTCTCCTGGTCAAGCAACTTGCTTGTTCTTGTACTAACAGTCAGTCTGCCTCTACTGTTTTGTATTTTTCCTGTAGGTCTTTCTTTCAAGAAGTATCTTCTGTTTTTCTAGCTGCTCTGGGCTGGTCTGCTCATCCATTCAAGTGGAAATTTCCCATCTCTGACGATCTGGATGTGGTTCAGGCTTCCACCTATAGTCTTATGTATTGCAGAGGCTCCTCAGGCAACCTCCTTCACTGGGCACGTTGTAGCCCCACTTTAGGTATTTCAATCAGTAATAGGCAGAAGACAGACTTACATGCTTTCTATGGTGATATTTCTGGCTATTCCTTTCTCTCCTCCTCCAGTGTCTATTTTATAATATAATGCACGGAAAACCAAGATTCAAAAAACAGCCAAGCATCTTAACGTTATTCTCCCCTTTTCCCCCTTCCAACCATGTCCCAATCTCTGTATCCCAGAGCCCTGTTGTTCCAAGGTTGTGCCTACATCATTATTTATCTCTGTCCCATTTAGCCCATTCAAACCTGCCTATTTGTTCTCCCTTCTGCTTTGTTCTTCTATTCCCCTCTCCCTTCTTGTATATTGCCCCCCTCCCCAACACCCAAACTGTCCTGTGTCTATTCCCTGCCCTGTGCTCCAACTTCCCCTCCCACCCCTAACCCTACCCCTACGTCCCAGCAACCAGCTAAGAATCCACTTTGGTGGATTAGTGTGGGTTCTTTTTATTAGCCTTTTACAGTAATGGTCTTATGCAGTATTTCTCCTTTTGTGACTGACTGATTTCACTCAGCATAATGTCCTTAAGGTTCATCCATGTTAGGTAATGGCATGTAGCTTCTTGTTATTTTTCAAGGTTGCATAATATTCTGTTGTGTGCATGTGCTTGTTTATCCATTCTTCAGTTGATGGGCACTTTGGCTGTCTCCATCTTTTTGCTATTGTAAATAGTGCAGCTATGAACATTGGTGTGCATATATCTTCCTGTGTTGTGGCTCGTTTGTCTTGTGGGTAAATACCAAGTAGAGGAATTGCTGGATCGTATGGTATTTCTATTTTCAACCTTCTGAG